GTGTGGTTGCACGTGCCTGTAGTCCCAGCTACTTGAGAGGCTGATGCAGAAGGATCACTCAAGCCCAGGAGTCTGAGGTTGCAGTGAACTGTGTTTACACCACTGCACTCCAGTCTGGAAGACAGAGAAAGACCCTTGTCTCTTTAAAAAAAAAAAAAAAAAAAATCCTGGCGCCTTCTGTGTCATTCACATGCTGCGTAACTTCTAGCTAGTTGTATGATTGCTCTGTGCCTCAGTTTCCCCACCTGAGAATCTGAATAATATCTACACCATAAGGTCATTGTGAGGGTTACCTTATTTGATGTCTGTGATGCTCTTGGGGCAGTAACTATTATTGTGATCCTTATTTAGGCAATTCTTGCTCATGGTTTAAAAAAAAAATTCCAAAAGTTCCAGAAGGGGACGAGCCAGTGTCTGTTCCCAGCCCCAGTTCCCTGACTCTCTTGCCCAGAGACAGCTGCCGTGAGTGGTTTCTTGCGGCTCCTTCCAATGAACTGTACGACGTTGAGATTCTGTGAGCCTCGGTTTCCCTGCTGGTAAGGCGGGCTCAGTGACATCTGCAGCCCCTGCTTGCTGCGATGGCTTCTGCCCTGTCCTGCCCGCCACATGAGGTGTAAGGCCCAGGCCGGGCAACCCACTAGTTCCAGGAGGCTTTTTTTAGCTCCGGCTTCCCTGGCAGCTGCTCAGAGGACGCTGGGGAGAGCGGTGGCCACCAACAGAGGCCAGCGGGGTGGTGGGGAGACTGCAGTGTGACACAGGCCCATGATGGAGAAAGGGAGGTGGCACAGGCCACAGCTGCTTTTTCGTACCTATCCACAAGGCCTGGGCCACCTCAAGCCCTTATCCACATGGGAGAAACTGAGGCTCAGGATTGGCTGTGTCAGTCCTATCAGGTATTAGAATAGGGGCCAGATCTCCCTGTGATGCTCACCGGTGGGCGAGACCCTGTGACAGAACTTGGGGACACAGCCTCAAATAAGGCACGGGAGCGAGTCAGCAGAACACTCTGGTGGCAGTGATGAGGATGATGACGATGACAATGGGACTTGCTTACTGAGTGCTATGTTGGAAGCGTTTTCCATGGAGTTACTCATTCAGGCCTCAAGGCGACCCCGTGAGGACCCATTTCACAGAGGGGAAAACCAAGGCCAGGAGAGGTTTAGGTGACGTGTGGGAAGTCACGTTAGTGGAGCTGAGTGCTTTGACCACGTGGTAACAACCACTCGTGATTATGGAGCATTTATTCCGGGCCAGAAATCGAGCTAAGCACTTGAAGAACATTTACTTATTTAAGCCCTAGGACAGTCTCCAGAGAGAGAGAGATTGTGCCCTTGGACAGATGATAATGACAGTGGGCAGCACAGGACTGGTGTTCCCTGAGTGCCCAGAGTGGCCCTTGACTTTTTACTTTAATGTCCTCCTTCGTTTCTCCCAGTACAAGTTTGTGAGGTTGGTCCTGTTTTCTGTGTTTGACAGATGAGGAAACCGAGGTTCTGGGAGGTTAGGGGATAGCCTTGGGACATCCAACCCAAGGTCTGGTGCCCTGAGGCCATCCTCTAGCACCTCATCACATGGTCTGATGGTCCCTGGTGGTCAATGGCACCATGGGCCGGGGCACTTGGGAGCAAAAGCAGAGGAAGGAACCCCATGTGCAGAGGCTGGGAGGCAAGAGAGAGCCAGTGTCTGTTTGGGACCCGGAGTAGGCGTCGGGAATCCCATCTGAACCCACCACTCCAAGGTGGGGTGGCGGGGAGGGCCGGGGGTCAGGTGGTCAGATGTACAGGTGTCAAAGATCCCTCTGGCGGGCTCCACGCTTAGATCAGAGGGGCAGTGATTGAAGGCAGCAGCTCTGGACAGAGTAGGCCCCACAGGAGCCAGATGATGTGACATGAAGGAGGAGCCAAATGGGGGCTGGGGGCAGAGGGGGCCGAGCGATCATAGGGGCCCAGGCGGGGGTCTGAGCGAGAGGGGCAGTGAAGGCGGGGCCAGGAGTCTGAAGAGACAGGGCGCGATCGTGGAACTTGGGGCGCAGTGGAAGAGGAGGTGCCTGGGGAGCTACATCAGGAGGTAGGGGTGGGCAGGAGACAGGTGGACACCAAGTTGGGGGCTCAGACAGGTCTGAGGGGGCCCTGGCAGTGATCCTGGAGCAAGGCCAGGGGTGGAACGAAGTGAAGAAGCATCTAGAAGTGAAAACTGTCAGGACTTGGTGGGAGTGGGAAGGGAGACGGGGCCTTTGCTGAGGGAAGGTACAGCAGAAACCTGGTTTTGCGGCGGTCAGTTGAGCTGGTTCGAGGACTTGGGCTCTGATGCGCACGGGCACCTGTGGGGTGAGGGTGGGAGCTGGGAGGCCAGGGCATGGAGGTGGGCGCAGACATTTCCTGGGGCCATCTCCAGTGCAGCTACTAGGTATGGGGCAGGGGACAGGCCTTTCCCCTGAGTGACAGGCCGCTGGCCGCCCCTGCCCGCAGGCCCGGGTGGAGCGCATGGAGCAGTTCCAGAAGGAGAAGGAGGAACTGGACAGGGGCTGCCGCGAGTGCAAGCGCAAGGTGGCCGAGTGCCAGCGCAAGCTGAAGGAGCTGGAGGTGGCTGAGGGCGGCAAGGCGGAGCTGGAGCGGCTGCAGGCCGAGGCGCAGCAGCTGCGCAAGGAGGAGCGGAGCTGGGAGCAGAAGCTGGAGGAGATGCGCAAGAAGGAGAAGAGCATGCCCTGGAACGTGGACACTCTCAGCAAAGATGGCTTCAGCAAGGTGGGCTTGGCGGCCACTGCGCACGCGCGCAGCCGGCACGCATGCGCAGCCAGCGCCACGTGGGGGCGAGGACGGGCAGGTCAAGTCAGACCGTGGGGCGAGGGCAGGGGCCACGGGGTACAGGGGAGGAGGAAGGACGGAGGGAGCGGGGATGGGTTTGGGGGGCCGAGCGGATGAAACACCCCACCGGTCCCCCCCTCTGATCTGCCCCAAGGCCCATGCCCACGCTCCCGCCTCCTTGATGCTCATGGCTTCGTCACCACCTCCGCCGTGGATGGGATGGGCTCTGCGGCCACGGCCGGCCCGGCCGCGCTCGAGGCGCCCCACAGCTTTGCCCCAGCCCACTCCCCTTCTCACCCTACCACAGAGCATGGTTAACATCAAGCCCGAGAAGGCAGAGGAGGACTCGGAGGAGGTGAGGGAGCAGAAACACAAGACATTTGTGGAAAAGTACGAGAAACAGATCAAGCACTTTGGTGAGTTAGGCGTGGGGCCCCTCCCAGGAGGATGAGGGGGGACGAGGTAGGGGCTGGCCCTTTGCCTCGAGGGCCTTTGCAGCATCTTGCCATCACCTCCCCACAGGCATGCTCCGCCGCTGGGACGACAGTCAGAAGTACCTGTCAGACAACGTCCACCTGGTGTGCGAGGAGACAGCCAATTACCTGGTCATCTGGTGCATTGACCTGGAGGTGGAGGAGGTGAGTGGAGCCTGCCCCAGGGCTGGGGAAAGGCACTGCCCTGAGACCACCACTTGGTGACACCACGCCTGTTCTCCCCGGCAGAAATGTGCACTCATGGAGCAGGTGGCCCACCAGACCATCGTCATGCAGTTCATCCTTGAGCTGGCCAAGAGCCTGAAGGTGGACCCCCGGGCCTGCTTCCGGCAGTTCTTCACGAAGATTAAGGTAGGGCCCCTCCTCGGGGAACCAGACTGTGGTTCTTGGGGAGGCAGACACGTGTCCGCTTGTACTGGGTTCGCGTCAGAAGAGAGCGGGGCCTGGGAGGGGGTGAGACGTGGGCAGATCCTGGCCAGAGTTTTTTTGAGGAGGCAACAGGATCTGCTGATTTGGGGTAAGTGTGGATTTGGGGTAAGGAATAGAGTTAAGGCTGCCTCCATATTTGTTCGTTTGTTTGTTATCAGAGCACTGGGAGGAACAGGGCTTACCCTTAGGGAGACCAAAGGCAGGGCAAGCCGGAGGGATAATCAGCTGGAATGTGGCTGTGTGGAGTTAGAGGCGTCTACACAAGACATTGAGGACGTGGATGTCACGGGTCTGTGGTGGAAGGGGCCTCGCAGGCAGGTGGTTGTTACTGTATAGGCAGATGAGGTCCTGCTGAGGGGAGGCCTAGACAGAGGGAAGAAGAGGCCCAAGCCTTGGACTGCCTATCACGTAGTTCAAGAGCAGACTTGGGGGGCTCAGAGAACCTGCAGCTGGAGGGTCCTGGCCAAGCGCTGGGCCAGGGCCAGTGAGCACTGCCCGTCCCTGCAGACAGCTGACCGCCAGTACATGGAGGGCTTCAACGATGAGCTGGAAGCCTTCAAGGAGCGAGTGCGGGGCCGGGCCAAGCTGCGCATCGAGAAGGCCATGAAGGAGTACGAGGAAGAAGAGCGCAAGAAACGGCTGGGCCCCGGCGGCCTGGACCCCGTCGAGGTCTACGAGTCCCTCCCTGAGGTGCGGCTCCCTGGCCCAGGCAGGCGGCAGGCGGGCAGTGAGTGGGACTCCCCGGGGTCACAAGGACCCACGCCTTGACCCCGGCTCCTCTGCACCCCCAGGAACTCCAGAAGTGCTTCGACGTGAAGGACGTACAGATGCTGCAAGATGCCATCAGCAAGATGGACCCTACCGTGAGTGACCAACCAAGTCCCAGCCCTTGGGGACAAGCCATGTGTCCCCTGGCCCTGCTCCCTGAGTCTAAAGCAGGCTGGTGAAAATGTCTCTCCTGGGCTTCTCCAAGGAGTAAGGGGGGTTGTGTGACCATGCCACATGCCCGCTTATGTTTATTGAGCACCTACTATGTACCTAGCATCCAGTGATGGATGCAGAGCTTCCAGCACATGGCCCTGAGGACTTATAGTGACTGTCACTGTGGGCCATTTATGAGCCCAGCCTCAGTTTCCTTATCCAAACCAGCGTTTCTCTGTTGATAGCAACTCGCAAAATACCTGGGGACAGTGCTGAGCACGTGGCAGGTTCTGGTGAACACCGGCTGGTAGTGTTATTAGGCATGTCAATAACGCCAGTAGACAAAGACTTTGAGTCTCAACAGGCCTGGATTTGATCCCATTTCCTGCTACTTGGCACACTGGTTGGCCACACTGGCTTCCTAATCTGTAAAATGGATCTAGTTCTAGGACCTGATTTCTAGAAGCTTCCATGGGAGTAAACATCTAGACCAGGGTCTGCAAACTACAATAAATAAAGTTTTAGACCAGGCGCAGTGGCTCACGCCTGTAATCCTAGCTCTCTGGGAGGCCGAGGTGGGAGGATTGTTTGAGCTCAGGAGTTAGAAACCAGCCTGAGCAAGAGCGAGACCCCGTCTCTACTAAAATTAGAAAGAAATTAATTGGACAACTAAAAATATATAGAAAAAA